AGAGATTAAAGACAAAATTTACAGGCGCCAACTGAAGTGTAATTAAAACACCTTCCTTATCATCTGTACAGCTTCGATTTCAGGGTATCTTTTGTAAACATGCAAATCTTTACAAAACTTCTGAAATGGTTATGTTTGCTATAATATTTTAGTGATATACCGAATACAGTAGGTCATAAACAAGGAGAGAAAGTTAAGGATTGTGTAAAGGAGATTTGGACATTTAAGAACTTTAAATGTTATAATGACTAACATAATAAAAAAAAAGTCCTCATTGTTTGTAGAGCATGCTAATTTTCCAAAGATTTTTTTCCATTAAAACAAGAAAAATATCGTATGTTAGTATCAATTTGTTTTTGTTTGTTTTATTTTATTCATATATTTGTTTTTTTTTAAATAAAGCATAGAGGATCCATTTTCAGGTTGATAATTTGTAAAAGAAATGTATATTTTTGTCTTGGCTTAGTGCAAATTAAATATTGGTTCAAACAAAACTGACATTTCTTTCCGTAAACAAATAGTCGTTCAGAGATGGCATTAGTATTAAGGTCAGCTAGATGTCGACAAGTTTCACTGTGCCAAATAACTGTAAATTCGGAAGGATATCTAAATATTTGTAGGACCTCTCCCCAACTCTGACGGACTGCCAAACACTAGGTCGGCCCTGTCAAACACTAGTCTGACTCTAATGTATAATATATCGCGTGGTTTACATAGCCATCATCTCCGTGTCACTAGGTCCGCGCTAACGACAAACCCTTCCTCTATGAAATACAGAAACGCACTACATTGTATAAGATGTTCTTCTGCCTCCGGTTGCCCAAAGGATACTTCGAGTTATTCAGCAAAGAAAAATTGACTCTCAAAAATATCAATCCGAACTGTCTTAACAAACCTACAGCTGTGAAATGATAATTAATGTTCTCCGTTCTGTTCAATTTACATTTGAAAATTATCACTAACCGCTGGTTTCCTGAGTTTTGAATACAGGCCTATTGATCAAGATTTCAGTATATTAATCGAACTACATACAATATTGGATTTTTTTTTCAATTCTCCATCTTTGTTCTTTGATATCGCATTTACATTACAAAACATGCACTTCAGATATTCCCAGTGAAATCCAACAAAACATAACTTATTGATGATATCTTTCATATATCTATGAATAAAATTTGTTATTAGTGGACTCCAATGTGCTGATATACCGTTTTTTTTAATGAGCTGTGTATCACAATGATTTGTTTCACGCAGTAACTGTTTGTACAGCTGCAGATTGTTTTAATGTACTGTTAGTACTGTGCATATACACATAATTTTATTTCTTTGCTATAACCATAATCATGGTTTTGAAAGCATGCCATTACCTCCTAAGATTATCCTATATGTCGCGGTCAGGACTTTGTGTGTAGAGAAGGTGTAGTTGAAGCAACAGAGATTGTTTAAACTTCCAAAAAACTAGCCTGTTTTTAAACTTCAATTATTTTGATTAATCAAAGGTCTATGTTGAAATCACTTGCTCATACACGAATTTTGCCCCTTTCCATTTAATTTTAAGTTTGAATTATAATTTCGGTTAAATAATAGAATTTCGATTTTGAGATATGTTTATGTACCGTGTTTAATGAATCACACTTAAAAATGTACAAAATCATCCTTTTTAGAGAATGTTTGAGAACAGTGCTAATTGAAAAGATATATCCGGGTAAAAGTGATAATTTAAACCTTACTATCAGACCATTATGACATAATTGGCTTTGTGGGGGCGGGGTTTAACATCCGGCTAGAACTGGTGGGAAAATAGCAATATAATTATTGTTGGTCAACTACCTAGTGTAGTGTGTATCTATATCCTCAGTATTATGAAAGCCGTGATGTAGAGAGGAAAATGACAAGAAAATATAAAATGACTTAGTTTTATGACTACTTGCTAAAACAAAATGTAAACATAATCTTTTATTACAAAGAAATTTGTAAATCATGAGGAAAGTCATAGGACTGAAATCCTTGCTAGCTAAGTACTCATTGTCAACTGGACGAGTCAGCTTGAGAAAGTGTGTTATAATCAACGGGGGTATTATATGAATTTGTCCATGATTAGTATGTTACATCGGTCAATACAACAGAATACCACTCCGTATGAGAAGACAATTCGGGAATATTTTAAATGTCAGTATTAGTTACTATGGTGACTGTTTGATGTCTGATGTTTATTTCTTGTATAAACAATCGATGATTAAACATTCTTTGTCTTGACAAAATATAACACACAGCAATTTGACTTCCTTGAGAAATAACCAAATCGAAAGTAAACCTCTCATCAAATACGAAATAAAGTTTAATCCTCATCAGGTAAAATGGGAGAACTCCTGGAAAATTCCAGGACTCGTACAAACGAGACCACACGACTTTAGATCTTGTTCGTTGACTTTTTATCTCGTTCATAAAACACAATGTATATTATTCATTTCAAAAAGTGGCACGAATAAGCTTGCTTGGAGATGAGATGATTTAGTACCAGGCTTTATCACAAAATATTGGACTTGCTTTGGCAGAAAGAGCTAGCACGGTTTTAGTTAGATAAGGACATTTTTCACTAAGATTAGTTATTGCGAATTTTCCGTTTCTAGATAGTAACTAGCCTACTTCCATTACCTATCTATCCTATATGTCACAGATGATTGTGTTTTAGTGCCTGTTCCCAATTTTAAGATTACCATGGTATATGTTGACAGCTGACGAAGAAAAATGCAGTTCGACTTTTAGTCAGATCTAAGTTGATGAAAACTATAGTTTGATGATCGTTGTAATGATCATACCGGGAAATATAATATTTTGGCGTACATGTGAAAGAAGAGTTTCACAGGTTTGTTATTCTAAATTCGTTTCTTATTTTGATAGTTTGTTTGTCATAACTAGGAAGGTCATACATTTCCATGGCGGGTGTTATCGATGAAACAACTTGCCATTCTCGAACACCTAGTCTTGTGCTGTCTTTCAATCGTTCACATTCATAGCAAAAATGGCACGGTTTAGATAAATCCACATTTATTTGATGTCATTGACTGAAAATCATACAACATCGAAAATACACAAATTCGCTGAATAATATGATAATTCACTAATAATTCATATTTCAAACATTTCTTTCGGCCTAGTTTGATGTTTCGAATTCACCCTCTAGATTTCAACACTTCAGGCCCCTAGCATCAATGACGAGCCCTTGGAGGACGGAACAGCTGTAGTCTACGTATATTTCATTCTATCACATAATCAACCTGTTATCAAGTGAATTCTCCAAAATAATATATTTGCGTATATATCACTATTTTGATATACGGTGAAGCAGTTTTCATCGACATGCCAATCAGAAATTGCTTGTGATGTGCACGATGACGTGTCATGTCACGAATTGAAAAGGCTGCATGTGCTTGTTTTTTCCTCCACATTTTCACTTTACAACCCTTCAAAGTTTAGCTTTCTATGTTATGTTTTGAAAACTATCTTTAAATTTGTTCTCATTTGCTATGAAATTTCAAGAAATTCGTTTCAAAACTTTTTAATTTTTGTTTGCCCACATAAAAATTCTAATACACACATAAAACCTCACATGATGTGTAAACTCTTCAAGATCATAGCACCGACATATATTTATTGGATATATTGGAAAGATTGCTAAGTTTGTATTTAAATGTTTTTTTCATTTGCTCTTACTTCCTTACAATCTTTACAAACATAAACTTAACACAAAGACATCAACATAATTCGTATATTGTTTATGGTTTTATATATTGTACTTATCGGTATGGTTATTTCATTTACATGAACCACAAAAAGTGTCTAACACAAATATTGTCTATCTTTGTTCTCAAATATATTTATGTTAAAAATATAAATCTAGATGAAGCCTTGTAATATAAACACAGATTTCAACAGTATATACAATTAAATTCTGTAAACAATTCCAGAAATTGGAGATAACCCTAAACAGGAATCGGAATTATCAAGACGGCATCGTTTTCTGTTGTTGTTATCGCCATCCAGATTTCCACATACAATGCCGACAGTAAAACAAACAGAGCGTTTGTGGTACTAGGGACGCTGGTGTTTACACGAGATTTGGAAATAACGGACTTTCTGTCGTGTAAATCAGGGTACGAAGATAGTCAGTCTGTGTGGAAAGACGATTCCAGAAAGCTCTTGACTTTGTTGTTGTTTGGTTATACCTAGCATTCCGGCGGATAAGTAAATGTTCTTATCTGTCCATGGAGAACTGCTACAGGGAAAGTTGTAGACGTACAAAGATGTTACTACGGATGCTACGTGCATCTACATAAGACTAAATTTACATTGTATAATTTATCAGAAATCTGAAACTTTAGGAACATATACATGGATAAAACATTATATTTTTATTATTTATTGCCAACATTAAACTAATCATGATACAGGATTTTATAATCTTTTAAGTTCGAATAAAATGCTTACCACATACATCCTATGTAGACTATCAGACATCAAAGTCAGTGAAATAAACTATAATGTTTATCAAATATATCTTGAACGTTTGTAATTGTTCCTTATTTCGTTTAAACGAATGCGTGTAAAAAAAGTATATTGTACTTAATTGATTGTCTCAAGTGAATAATGCATTCTCAGTTTGACGTGAGCGTGTGTTAATACAAACCAGAGTCAAGTGAAAGTCGTGTAAACATAAGGGAATCTTTTCTGAAACTTTAATATGCTAATAATGTTAAATTGTCTCTCCAGAGCCTTAGTTTGCGGTCATCATGTAAGTAATTAACACGACCTATTTGCATACTAAGGCGTTTCTCTGACATGTATTGCACTACTTCTAGCCAATAGTTACAACTTCGTCTGGTCACGTGATATCGGGTTCATACTTCAAACGCGTCCCTGACAAGGTGGTCGTTGATGGATGTGGAGGCCTCCCTAGCGCCGGCCCTTAGTGAATCTTACTATAAAATAAACCATGGATCACTTTTGATCGGCCACGTAAAGAAAGTGCCAGTCAGTCGGTACCTTGTATATGTGTTTGTAGGTGATACCCAGCGTCCCAAGACACCGACGTACAGCTCCACGAGCCCTCGTCATGAATTATTAGATTTCATGAATTTGTGGACCAGGGCACCATTTAATGGTCATCCAACGATGGCGTAGGTTTCACGGACATGACCACTGTCTTCACTTTTATCTAAAGTGACATCATGCCGCGTCGGAAGAAGGAACTTCAATCAAGTGATGATGATGACACAAAAATTCAAAAACCTCTTCAAAGGAATGCAGCAAATGCGCGTGAACGGTCACGCATGCGAATACTCAGTAAAGCGTTTGTGAAATTGAAAACTACCCTACCTTGGGTACCCGCTGACACGAAACTATCTAAGCTGGACACTCTCCGTCTCGCATCTAGTTACATCGCTCACCTTCAACAGGTACTGGACACAGAGGAGGAGGAAGGGGCAGAATTACCCTCATTCCATCCCCTTAACCTGGTGAGTTATAATGTACTAACTTACCACATGTCATATCCGCAATCAAATGCGTTAAAGTAAACTAACTTACCTCGTTCCATTATTTCATAAGCTCATACAGGGGAGTATAAATGTACTAAATTCCGTTCATATACTACAAATTTGTATAAATGCACTTACATTCAAGCACTCGATCAACTCAATAGGCGAGTTAATCTGAATTGTGTTGTCCATGTGGGTTAGAGTGTATTATCTCGCGTCAGTATGGCGAGTTAAAAATGACCATATTCCCTTATTTTAGCCGTTCAAGCTGAAAATATACAATATACCTATTCCGTAAAATTCAGTGAGTTATCACTTTCTTTCATGTTGTATGGACAATCTAAATAATCAGTTACCCTTCATCTGGTAAATTAAAACCAAGAAAGGATTGTTCTTTTTCTTTCGATTTTCTCTGCTTATTCTATGTATACATACCGAAATAACTCATTTAAATGTCATTGTATATTAAATTATAATCAATGTGATTATCTCTTTTAACAAATGTAATTATTCATTGTTTAGACTTCTGAACAGGATGTTTCGGTTATTATGTGTTGTTATTGAAGTAATTCTTGTATCACTTTGAAATCAATAGTGAAAAATACAGCCAATTAAAAACTATTGTTTTGTAATTTTAACAATTCCACATTTATTTCCGTCTCGATATTTTCCAGGATGACAATAAAAGGATATATCTCCAGTATAAAAATAGAATATATTCAAGCACAAAAGCATAATAAAATCGATTAAAAAAATGCGAGGAAATGAATTTGACATAAATTCTTGTTGTAAAGAGCAAATCTGGTTGTTTAGAACATAACGTTTACCCTTTTGTTATTCATAGAAAGTTTGTAATATAGAATATCAAGTCGTCCTGAAATAAATACAGGAGACAGAAACATAATATCATACGCACAAAATGGTAGAATTTTACTCGAGTTCCCAAGTTGAAGTTTATATCACAAGTACAGTTATCAGAACTACATATTATACATCTAGCGAAATCCAGTGCAAACCAGAAATGTATGATTTGTGAATATTTTATCGTCGAGATCAGAAGAGTATAAGCAATTGACTAAAATGCGTGCGATGAGTGTGAGATAACTCACGCGCATAACATTCCAGCTCGTGAGTGTTGTTTTAATTTGGAAGTTTAATGACAGCTGATCCGACAGAAGTGCGAGAAACCCGATCTCCTACCCTGCGATAGAATCTCACATTTCTCGGTCTGTCAACAGTCCAACTGGCTAAAACGAGAAACCGAAATCCGTGTTCCAATTTTATCGAACGCAAAAAATTATTGTTAATAAAAGACACGGTCTTGTGTATAACTACCTCAAGCATTAAAATAAACAAATATATATTATTAGATTCCGTTTAAAGTTATATATTGTTGTTCTGACTAAGTAAGAATATACTTTATGAAGTACCACGATACAGGGCAAAATTATACACGCTGTTGAATACAAAATGAATACACGTAGTTAAAAATGCACTGCTGTGTTAATATTTTTTAAGGTTATTCGATATCCGAATTAATGAATTTGATGAAATTATAGAACGTGTTCATTTTAAGGTGAAAGTATTTCCTGACTCACTGTCTTAATTTCAACACGGTACATCCCAAATTGAGTCCCAGAAGGACGTGACGTTGATATCGAACGACAACTTTATAAAAAAAATGTATTTGAAGTTCAAAGGTGCAATTTACAACCTACATGTATTGTGTATAATCTTTGTAACACTTGATAACTTAATAATCCTAAATTAAACATCTGTAACTCAAAGTTTCTACATTAATTGTATTATACTAGATTTACATATAATGCTGGACTATTACAGACATATCTGTGATATTTTATGGTTTATTTACTGACGTGTGTTGGGAGATAGTAATGGTAATATAAGTAGGATATCGCCCGTGTATTGTTACACTCATTAGCGTACCGGAATTGTTTTAAGTTTTTATCTGTAATAACGTAACAGGCAAGGCAGGGTGCCGATGTGGTGTACGAGATATGACGGTGGTAAATGCGGCCATGTTCGGGTCAGCTAAGGTGAGACCAGGTTATAAATAGCATCGGGGTCCTGTCCTCAGCATTGTCTCACTCTCTATATCTCTGTAGGACACATTAATATCATGAACCAACAACATGTCAGTCAATTTCATTTGTTATTTTGATTGGACCCAGTTATCTTCATACACTACAGATATAATACTATTGTTGACAAATCACTTGCTCGTTGTTTCAGTAACATTGTAATTGCGATATATCTGATATAAATGTGATTTATTTAGTTTTAACTTGACAGTTTAACCGTGATCATCTCTCTGTATGTGAGAAAAATCATTAATCCAGATGGATAAAAAATTACCTTCATGTTTTATACATCATAAATATCAGACTAAAAAAGTGAGATCGACTGAATGTTAAAATACTGTGTTAATTTATCACTCAATTTACATTTGAATTAACTTTTTAATGTTACGTGGATTTCTTCATAGCTTAGCTTGGCATTGTTTTAATTTTACGTCTTGTTAGGTATGTAAAGAGTGTTGATATGTTTACATAATTTTGCTGAGACAAATACTATAGTATATCATAAGACTGACCATGTTTACATTATTCTTCATATTCAAGTATTCCTGTGATTGGTGTAGAAGAGAATTAATGTTTGAAATATTTTGAACTTACTTACCACATTCTGAGAATCATTGTCAACTGTAAGATAGAATAATTAAAGTATCATTAATAGTAGAAATCATCCCTGCCCCTACAGCCCAGGAGGCGAGGGAAGCTTAAAATGTACACAGCATCCCTATTTAATTATTCTCATAACTCTTTTTACCTATATTGAATATATAATTTTCTCCTGTCACAAAAGAAACGTGGGCTCCTAAGTCATGGAAGTCATAACTTTGGTATAGCTCCTTACAATCATTCCATCTACCCTAGATGTAAAAAAAGAGATCTTTAAAAACAATTCCAACCAATATGACTCATTTCACTCCCACCTCTCGGATCTTCGGGGATGGTTGGGGACCATACAGTTCACAAATATGGTTAATTTTGTGCAATGGAAAAATTATGCAAAAATTTCACCAAAATTGGTTCAAAGATTAAAGGCTACGTTGTAATATAAAATGTTCGTTGTGTATAAACTTTTTTTAAAATTATGTACTTTATTTCAATCTGAAATGTGCACACAAACGCATATACATAGTATCTGGATATATATGTACAAATGTCATTTAACACGCTGTCTCCATTGACCTTAAAATCAGAAAGCTTTCTGACAAATTGCTGTAGGTAGTTAATATTCTGGAATTGATGAAATAATAGTCAGTGTAAAGAAGATATTGATCACTAGATATTTCATGTATTTTTCGAAACTTGATTTAAATTCCATTCATTCATATGTAAATGCAAGCAATGATCACGTGGTACTGAGCACTTCCCCGCCTCTGATTATTTTCTAACATTATTTTTACCATTTGTGAAGGTCACTATAGGATGCAGTGTATCCAATATAATCGCTTCGTTGTTAACATCATTAATCTGTATCAAAAAGTTTGTACGAACGACACACAAGTGAGTAGCACCCTTAAATTACAAATTCAGTATCAGAACTGCGTCATACAGCTGTTTTGACCCTCAATGCCTCGTTATTGATGCGAAGTGCTTTGATACGACCGAGGATAACCGATATAGATCGATTAATGTCTAGATGGAGAGATGTACTAAACCCATTTTTCAATAAATGTTGTAAAATGCATATACATAAATATGATAATTTTAAAGATTTTCAAGTATATAAGCTATTCACTTTTTTTTATTGTACAGTTATATCAGAGCTACATCACCTGCCGGAACCCGCGTACTCGCTAACGCAAGTGGTGTAGAACACGTGACCTGCAAATTGTGCCGCATGTTTATATTTGATCCCAATATTTATCTTCACATAGAATGCGCTATTTCCTGATATCTATGCCAATTTGTCGGTGTCCTTCCCGGACGTGAACTTTGACCTAGACTGCCTTACTGACCAACGCGTAATAAAAACGTCAAGCTTTTGTAGAACGACTGCAGAGTTGATTAACAAAACGTCAGGTTCTGCGATGTTAAAATAGCAAATGGGGTTATTTTGTATATGTAAATGCTTAAATTATGTATTGGAAGGTTATTGTAATAGGACATCTGTTTTGTTTAAGATAATATAATGGACTCAACTCCACAGTATTCGTATTCCCATATTGTATGATGTCAGAAACAGGACATATTGCTAATTTTTGTGGTATAAACCATTAGGGATGTAATCATTTGAAATAAAACTTAAAATTAATAATATTACCTTTTCCCATCCAAATGCTTATATTTCTGAACGCAGACAAAATTCTTTAGCTATATAGTGTCACCTCGACACCTCCTCTCGGTCTTTTGTATACATATTTAATGCATTGAAATAGTAAGACAGATATCAATATCTAGAAATGTGCTAGGTTGAAAATATTTATCAAAAAATAAGAAGAAAATACCAACATGTCAACATGTCAATAAAGCTAGGGCAAAGGTACACGGATAATTAGACCAAGTGTCCCAGAAGACTAACCGTCTTCTGTTTCATTGACGACACCCGCCATGTAAACTTTGATTAATTCACACAAGTAATGTCGCGTTTTCTAACAAGGTATACAACAACGGAACCAACAGGCAGAGTAACGAGTATCAAACATGTCCAGCTTCGTATCACACAAAGAAATAGAATGTTTCTAATTTAGATCAATATAACGCCCGTAAAACTTCCAAAACTTTTCATCAACCTGCCTAAAGTTTAGCCTGTGGTGAAAAGGAATATTTGCCCATTCCTTTTTGATAGGATTGTTCTTAATCTCGTTATAAAATTATGGAAATTAAAGAAGGAAAAAATTCGAAAATATTAGAGCAGCCCTACACGATATCATGACGAAGCGTTATTTA